GACTTCTGAGATTCTTAAGGATGGTGGTCAAGTTTTAGCAGCTAGTTGACTGAGATCTTTTCCTCCTTCGAAATGCAAAATGTTGATTCAAGATTGGGTTTCATCGGTACCTGAACTAGTGGTAGGGAGTGAAGTAGTTTAGCGTGTAGACTGCTTCACTTATCTCGGTAATGCGATTAGTGCTGACGGCCTGGTGTGTGACGAAATTTCAATACGGATACAGAAGGCTGGATTGGCTTTTGCTAGCCTGCGTCACTTATGGCATAGGCGAGATATCCGTTTGCCGACTAAGGCTAAGGGACTAGTGTACGTCGCAGTAGTTCACTCCGTTATCGATGTTTGGAGACCCGGGATGACGTGGCGCAAAACTGTTTGCAATGGCGCTGGTGAGTTCATTCTTTGTGTTCTCTCAAATCCTAAAATTCAGAGTTCCTCATCACCTTTATCTTTTTCTTTTTAAGTTTATTTCACTATATTCTACCTCTTGGAGAATATCGTAGAAAATTAGAACAACACATATAAGCGAACAATATTGTTTTCGATTAGATCGTCATCAGGCTTTACTCTAATATACATGAATATTTATATGAAAATGTTAAACCAATCAAGGCAATTTGAGTGATAATCACAATGAAATGAAAAAGATTACGTAACTACATCTAATAGGCTTTTATGTGTTGTTCTAATTTTCACAATGGGAATCTTTAAAATATCGTAGAACCCTAATCTTTGCGATTGCTGTTATTACTTCTACTACCTCTACTACTATGGGATTTGAAGTGACAATTGCCTCTCTGTGCTAATGTGATATGGTAACCTGAACTGATGTACATACGTATGAAGTTCTATGTTGTTGCTGACTGACTTTTTCACACCCCTCTACATGCGTGCTCATATATCTCCTTCACGCCATAAATGCGTTTGGCAATCACGCATCGAGTATGATATGACCTAAGGAAATAAATGGTATAAACATTATAACCTTACCAGGCTATCACGCTCTACAAGGTCAATTAATATAGCGAAATAACGGCTACGGTTGAGTTGTTACTCATTAAATTGAGATGTATATAATTTATCACAAAATCACCATAAAATTTGTTTCAAAATATGTATGCAAAATTGTAAACTTGATACTGATTAAGTGTATTGTTTATTCACAATTACTTATAATAGAAGTTTTATTATGTTTACAGTCTACTATTCTTCTTCTTTGCATTTGTCCATCATCAAACATTGTAGAATCGATTGTACGCGCATAAATGCACATATCATAGGTATTCTTCCATTTTACCTTTATAAAATACCGTGTTTCATAAATGATGAGGTGGATGATAGATGGTTTAATTCATCAATGTTCTGCGACTAGCTGAACTCATATTTGCAATGTTTTGTGCAGTGTATGTTATTATAAAATCCGATCTACAACATATAAGTTTGCTTATAATATTTTTACATCATGGGGAATTGCGTTTCTATTATCTCACATTGCTGATAAGAAAAACTAGCAATATATTCTGAATCTGTCACTGTTTAATTCTTCTTACTCTACCTAGCTGAATAAAGTAGATGGGTGATTTCTATCAGTTGGATCCAGAACACAGATATTTTCCTTTTTATAAATTACCATCTGAATGTTCCTGCCTCTCAGTGTCAATTTTCGCGTTAGGATTTGAAGCCAGTAGCTTTCGTTTCAAACACTCAGTGCATTATCCATTGAGCTTGTCAGTTCAAATAGTCTATAAAGCAAGTACGATAATCATATCATCTTCCACACAGATAAGTTTGTCCTGTTGTCTGTATTCAGTACTGAATTTGTGATCTCTCAAATCCCAATGCTAGGATATAGGTACATACAGTTAACGATCCATAAACTAGATCAAACATGTGTTCTATATTCCTATGCTAACCCTAATCCAGTCATTCCATAGAACTCGTGACAGTTGCTATGTTCCAAAACAAATCATTCAGAATGCATATTTACAAATAGAGATTGATCAATATTTTGGTCCTAGATGTCAACAACAGAATAATTCAAACCTTCTTAGGTAGTAGTATCAAATACAGAATGTGTCGGCTGCATGTGTGAATCATGTGGGCATCTATATCTAAAACTGCCAAACTAACACTGCTCAAAATTGACATCAGTATAAAATGATGGAATTTTTCTACTATTCCAGCTATTTGTTTAAGACCTATTTATTTCTGTCGGGGATGTTAGATCCCAAAAACTCGCTCGATAAATGCCTTATTTTGGATTTCACATTTGCGAGCATGGGCTGATCAGTTGACCTTGAGATTTCATTTCCCACCAGGAATTTCCGTGGCTGTGATTGGCTGCTGCGTATTTTAGTGTGCTATTTTCGTAACTGTCCCAAGGACGTTTCTATGATATATATTAATAAACGAGAGTTATGTGCTTGATTGTATTGTGATTGCTGGGTGTTTGTCGAATATACTTTCTACGCTTACCAAGTCTTCTGTTTACAGTTTGGGATTCAAGGTAGCCTATCTGGACGCTGGTAATTGTCTCGTTCGTGTTTATCGACTAAGGTGAACTCGTAATAGCTTCAAGCGTATCTAGTGACGTGCGTAACAATTTCCTATCGTAACATGTTCTCTTATTGTTTTGCTTATACTCCTATTCCATTTCAAACTACAGGAAATATTGAACCGCCGTTTAATTACTCCAAGTCTAGCCTTGTTTACCAATTCAATTGAGGGTTGTTATATTCTAAGTTCTCTTCTGTAGTGTCTGGTTGAACTACTGATTACTGCTACTGATATAGCTGTATTGTTATCGATGCGGAATAACTGCTACTTGTTCAACCGAACAAGACTCAGCTATCTTGATACAATGAAGAAAATTAAGATAAAGATTTACGTATACAACAAACACTGATTTACAAACTGATCAATATGATATCAAAATGTTCAGTGAATATATTTATATCACATTTAAATGTCCAATCACTAGGTAAATTAGAACATACTGAACTATTAAGTAGTTAACGTTTATTAATCAATAATTTAATGTAACTATACAAGTTACAAAATCAATAGATTATCTGATTTAACTAAAAAATATGACTGAAATGCTGGATTGTGTATATTTTCTTCTTAATATCTACACTAGCTTTGTATTGTGTGTAACAGTTATTTGCTCGACTGCTCAATTGTACTCACAGCTACCTCTTTATCTAATGATTAGTTAAAATTTGCCGTAGTTTTCGAATATCTGTTTGTACATGTGTTTAATCTTCAAAAATCAGTCAAGAATATGTGTATTTTTTAGTTAATTTTAATGATCTTGAACGTGAATAATAATTTATTATTGTCTTACAAATTTAAGTCCTAGTGTATACCTGGATGTTGGAATAGTTGATAATTAGTAATTTGAAAATTAACGGCCTGTAGTAAACTGGTTTGAATTGTGTTAGTTGTAACCGTTATCTATTTTTAATAGAGTGTCAAATTTTAACAACTGAAAAATTTTTGCACAAACCTGTCAGTGTTACTCAGTAATCAGATGTTATTCGTTAGCTAATTTATTTATAACAGTTCATCTAATTTCACCTAACTAGATCAATGCTTTTCAGTTGACCGATCTAAGCGCGCAGTTTTGTTATGTTTTGACAACACTTTCTGATCTTACTGGAGCCAGAGGTTCTGCTTGGTATCATATTGTTAGTTTAACAAGTGACTTATTTCATGAGTTTACTCACTGACCAATAAACAACAGTCAAGGTTTTAACGATTATCGATCTCCGAACCCCTTCTAACCCTGTATCCAATCAGAAGATGATGATAAAAGGCGAATTAAGTCTCTGTTGTACCGAACATGGATTATCCAAAACTACAATAATATACTGAAAATGCCAGAACATATAGCGCTCCGAATAATAAATCACAGCCATACCATGAGTGCAAGAGGATAGAGCAAATAGCGCATAACTAACTACAATAATTAAGGAATAGTAAAACATATAGTGACAGCTGCTAGGTGTACTAAAAGCTTGCATAGAAATGGAACAGTAAAACGATCTACTAATTATACAATAAAGATATGAATAATAGTATTCCGAAAGATTCAACCTCCTCAAAATTTGTCCTTTTACAAGATGTCAAAGATTTATCACTAATAACGATTAAATCTAAGGATTAATTGTCTAGAACTGGAGTGCAGGATGCGCTTCTCGTCCTACTTGTACCTCAATAGTTGGATATGTGTCCATTCAAAGTTGGGTGTCTCATATAAAAAAAAAACAGAAGACAATAGAAATATAACAGTTGTAGAGCCGATCAATATTTGAGTTTTTTTCAATTAATATAATAAGGTAGCTAAAGTATGTTAATATGTCCATTTATGAGTTGTTTTTTAACCAACTTAAATATCGCAAAATGTTCGCGGGTAATTACCACCAACTTTTATATGTGCTACTTTCAGTTAAATTCTAAACATTTATATTCAAGTGCAAATATTCTGTTTGTGTGTGTTGATAGTTTTTTTTACACTGATTGAGAATTGAAATAAACATCTGATGATTCAAAATATCTTGCTCAATGGTTTATGATGGTGATAACATGACGTTTATATCCCATAATTATTAATCTCCTTTTGTATTTTTATCAACAAATTTATGGAAGGTTTATCTAATCACTTAGAAAATTACCATTGCAAAATCATGTAATTGTGATTTAACTAAAGGAATATGATAATTTTTTAAAGGTATCGAAAATCTACTACTGCTTTCATCTAAGCTATAAATCGATCATTATACCTATCTCAATTGTGTTAGTACTTAATATTCGCATCAGAATTGCAAGCAATTATTTATCTCTTCAAATCAATCATCATAACATTCAATCAACCTCCCCCCTTAATGTACCAAATTTGCATTTCTATAAAGTATAAATGTTTCATCATTACTGCTTTATCCTTTATTAACCACTTAATATATATATTTCATCAAAAAATTAGTATTTTTATTGCTCATTAGATTACTGAAGCACGTTCAAGATCCGTTCTTTATAAAATGGAATCACTTAAACCAGTTGAAGGATTCCCTCAAGTAAGAGTACAGTAAATAAAAATTTTTCTGTTTTAATTACATGTTTCGGAATTTCATTATCGGTTTACAATATTTTTTATTTTATACGCTAAGCTTAAAACTGTCAGAAAGTGACGCTAAATAAAGTGTATCCAATGTATTTTTTTGCTATCTAGAGTAACATAAAGCAGTAGGAACTCTAAAGTTTTCATTTTCACTCTTGATATTACTCGTTATAAAAGCATAACTGCAATTGTAATCGTAGTTTCTAAAGACAATTTTCTTCCGAAAAAAATTTGCAGTTTAGGAGAATTGGATTTCCGAGATATGAATAACCATTGATTGAAAACTGCTGAATATCATAGCATTTCTTATTATGCGTGACTTACTCTATGCTTTGCTCACTAACTACTTGTGCTATGACTGGGAATGCATAGCTTATCCCCTAAACACTTGAATTCACTGACTCATTAAATGACATACCATCTCTATTGATTCTCTGCATTTATCACTAATTTTTTTCACTCGGCTGGTTTCATTATTCATAAACATCGCTCTATAAAAAGATGTAATCAGATACTAGAAACTTACGTATGGCTTTTAGATTTTCATAGTTGTGTTTGATAGGTCTAAAGCAGTACAAAGCAGATCACGACACAACGTATATTCATTTTGTTTCCCAATTTGAAACACGCGTATTATAAATTAGCCAAAGCCAAATAAATTTTCCATAATTCTGCTAGGATTTCCTCAGGCACCATTCGATATCTCTAAAATAAGTGCAGTGGTTGAATTTACTTGACAAGTTCACTTGGTATTGCTCACCCCAACGGTGATGCAAATTAGTTTTTGAGTAATTTATTGCAATTGTTAGAGGAAATGTAAATCAACATCACCATCATTATTAATTCCTGTCTATTACTTTCCCTTGAAGAAAACGTTTATTTAATCACGCCAAGTCAATGTACGCCTCTTGACGACAAATTAATTTTTGAGAAGTCATACTACCTGGCTTCCTAAATCAAAGTTAGGAAAAGTTTGAACGCATGATCTATATCGGTTTTAAAGTAGAACTTACTGACCGACCACCGATCGTCTTGGGGACCCCAACCAAGAATCCTACATCTACCAACATGACTCAGTCCACTTGTCAGTGACTTCATGCATTTGTGCCGTGTTTTGGTTTGGCCGCCCCCAGCTTTCTTCCAACCTACTCCTACACCACGAAACATTACTCGTGGAGGCAGCCAGCGGTTGGACATGCTTAACACATGTTCCAACAACCTCAACTGATCAAGTTTCAATACTTCATTTATTTATTTACCTAGTACTCGTTTCTTAACGACTTCATTGCTTACTCGGTTGTCCCAAGATCTACGAGCAATGCTTTGAAGACATCTATAATCAAATACTAATAAACTACGCATTTTCTCATCTCTTACCAGCCATGTTTCGCATCCATATAGTAGGACGGAGTGAACTGCTGCATAGTAGACTTGTCTTTTCAGTTAGCAGACGGAAGTCAAGTCTGCGCTACAAGTGACGCAAGTTGGCAAAAGCCGATCGAGCTTTCTGTATACCTGCTGAGATTTCGCCAGTCACAAGGCCGTCAGCACTAGTCGTATTACCGAGATAAGTGAAGCGGTCTACACGCTAAACTGCTTCACTCCCTATCAATGAGCGAATCTCCTGATAAAAATTCAACCCTTGAAAATTTTCATGACGAAAGTGTCATATCTAAAAGCACGTCCATGACGAAGTTAAACAAGAATAGAGAAAGTGGACAGCTGTGACGGACACCATTTGAAGTAACGAATCCGGGTGAAAGTTCGCCATAAGCTCTAACTCGACCAGTGGTGTTCGAGTAGACAGCCAGTAAAAGGATAATGTATTTCTATGATACATCTCTCAATGACAGACACTGACACAGAACCTCACGATCGATACAGTCAAATGCCGCTTTAAAGTCAAGGAAGACAACTATTGTCGGCTAGCAATTTAGACACTATGTTAGTTAAACTGATTACTCTGCGATTGTCACAAGAGGAGTTTTGTCCTTTTTTATAGACTGGGTCAATCAGTGATTGAGGCCAGTCGAATGGGATTACGTCCACTGCTAAAACTAGACCACCATTCTCCGAAATCTCAGGGGTAAACCTGTTACGGCCTACTGCTCTCCCCCACTTTGCATCCTCTGTCACTTTTTAACTGTATTGAGTCGGAGGACTTACACCGATTCGCCATTCAGGCTGACTGGAGATCGTGGGCAACCGAAGTGTGGCCGAATGTCGGTTGAACTGATCTCTGAAGTGTTCTGCCCATCGATCCAATCTCCTGGGTTGAGAATGAATAATATGGCCTTTCCCGAGATAGTCTCGCTATTGGTCGGATTTCTACTACCGGTTTCCTCGCTAAGTCTGAACAGTTGTCTGCTGTTACTTACTGCCACTGTCTTTTCCATCTGTCTTGATTTCCGTACCCACCACTAATCGCGATCATTGAGTAGACTTCTTATCAGCCTGTGCTTTGTTGATTTTGATTTTTCGTCATGTTCAGAGCTAGACGAGATGAGTTTGCGAGCATCCATCATATCGGTAGATGCTACTGAGATTCTCGGCTTCTTCCCAACCTCATAGTTTACCTTACTAGCAGATATAACTGCTGTTTCCACAGCTCTTTGGATGTCATTGCAAGTTAGCTCGGGATGCGAATTACTTACATGGCGACCGACCTGATTTTTTTCCAGCTCTTCATGAAATATATTTTTATCTGTGATATCATTAGGCAGAACCCTAAGAGGGTTTCCTTGCAGCGTCTTTTCTACGTTCAGTTAGACAGACAAATTCGAGCTCGCTTTACAGCATGATCTGAATCTAAACATGTGACGCAGAACGACTGGCAATCTTCTATTGAACCCCTCCATCGGTTCCAGTTGGGTCTATCGTTGGGATGACTTTTTGGGTCGCGATGTCGAGATGTACAACCTTTTGCCTAAAGTTAGTATCTGCTCACAACAGGTGATTTTCTGAGAAAAGCTGCAGCAAATGACCACCGTTATCTGCTCTTCGAGCCACGACACAGTAAGATCCACCCAGGTGTCTTTCCTGTCGCTTAGTCTACTTACTTGAGCATTAAATTCACGAGCCGCTATTACTATATCACAGACCTTAACTTTATGAAGTATGCTAAAGATGTTTCTGTATAACTCATCTTTTATCTCGTCTGAGCTACAGTCGCTGTGAGCGTAGGCAGAGACAACAAAGAGCCAACAACGAGTTTCCTTTTCTTTACTGGACAGCGCACAAGCACCGACCCACTGGGATCCAGTTCAAAAGAACCAGCTTTGTCTTGGGACTCAACGCTTTACTTACACCCGTGAGGCCCCTGGAAGCAGCAGTTGGGCTTCCAAATACACGAAGATTAAATCGAGTTGGTTCTTTAACTTTTAATAATCGATCAATATTCACTGTCAGCCATTAATTCAGTACTTAGTTCCTTGTATGATCTTATCTCAATACAATGACATGCAAACTAATAAGTTCATCATGCCACTATATACTGATTATATTTTTCCAGGTGAAAGTTAAGCACTATATCCTATATCCCCGATAATCATAGTTCTCCTATAGGTGAACACTACTTAGTTGGATTAAGTAGACAAAATTTCTCCCAAACATTTACATAAATCAGTGGATCGTATTTCTATTTACACGTGAATTCTCTGCGGTTGAAATGTCTCATTCGCCTTCCTTAAATTTTTCTTGCAAATAAACACTTCACTTGATATAGACAACTGGATACTTTCTTTATCTAGCTATTCATTTAGTAAGAGAAAAATGACGCATGCTACAGAAATGTATAAATAATTTTATACTACATAATAAAGTACCTCTATATTTTATCATTTATGAAAGGAGAAAGGTTACATTACAAATATACCTGGTATGTTTGGCTTAAATCCAAATTGTAGTTAAAGCTTTTACTGTTTGCAACAGCGTTACATCCATTGTCATAGTTAAACAAGCATACATATCTATACCACTCTACCGATTTTCATGTATATAAACATCTACATACAATGCACAGTTTGTTACCTATTAATTACTGAGTCAAATGTAGCGTCTGATTTGTTCAGAAATGACAGGAATGAATCGTTGCACTCTTAACATATCCCGTAAACTCATTCATTCCATACATAACTATTTACTATATAATCATACGGACAGATTGAAAACTTTTTCTCCTGTCAGTTAATCGCCTATTATCTCTACCACTAAGGGATTTGAACTGACAGTTGTGTTTATGTGCTAATCCGGTATCACAACCTGAACTTATGTACGTGCATACGGAGTTCTACGTTGTAACCCATTGACTGCATCGATGTATACGAACTTTCTCACCTAAAAGTATGGATCACACTAATAATTTCAATGTCGTGTATTCCATGAGAAAGTTACCAACTGCTTGTTACAAACACTACTACTCAACTAAAAATTGCTAAAAGTAACTTTCACGTTTTCCATGTCAGATGTTCATTATTAGACTATAGTGTTCTTGTCATAAATCAAAATACCATTCTTACTTTTACGTAAGCGAATGGGCACGCACTCTTAACCGACTCAAGTTATTATCACTAGCTTTTTTCCGATTGTCTACATTATTACTACGTCAGTCAGTTAGCAACAACATAGAACTTCATACGTATGTACATCAGTTCAGGTCGCCATACCACAATAGCACAGAGAGGCAATTGTCACTTCAAATCCCATAGTAGTAGAGGTAGTAGAAGTAATAACAGCAATCGCAAAGATTAGGGTTCTACGATATTTTAAAGATTCCCATTGTGAAAATTAGAACAACACATAAAAGCCTATTAGATGTAGTTACGTAATCTTTTTCATTTCATTGTGATTATCACTCAAATTGCCTTGATTGGTTTAACATTTTCATATAAATATTCATGTATATTAGAGTAAAGCCTGATGACGATCTAATCGAAAACAATATTGTTCGCTTATATGTGTTGTTCTAATTTTCTACGATATTCTCCAAGAGGTAGAATATAGTGAAATAAACTTAAAAAGAAAAAGATAAAGGTGATGAGGAACTCTGAATGTTAGGATTTGAGAGAACACAAAGAATGAACTCACCAGCGCCATTGCAAACAGTTTTGCGCCACGTCAATCCGAGTCTCCAAACATCGATAACGGAGTGAACTACTGCGACGTACACTAGTCCCTTAGCCTTAGTCGGCAAACGGATATCTCGCCTATGCCATAAGTGACGCAGGCTAGCAAAAGCCAATCGAGCCTTCTGTATCCGTACTGAGATTTCGTCACACACCAGGCCGTCAGCACTAATCGCATTACCGAGATAAGTGAAGCAGTCTACACGCTAAACTACTTCACTCCCTACCACTGGTTCAGGTACCGATGAAACCTAATCTTGAAGCAACATTTTGCATTTCGAGAGGGAAAACCGCATCCCGAACATACTTGTATTGTAGCTCACTGTAGTCGAAAGACTGAATTTCGTCAGCGTCTTTACTGAATATAACTGTGTCATTGACATACTCTAAGTGAATAACCGAGCCTTCTGGTAGCGGGTCTACGGAAAATTCAGAAGAAGATAATGTTATATCTAGCAGCATGTCTATGACAAAGCTAAACAAGAATGTGGAAATTTGACATCCCTGACTGACACAACATGAAGTAAATACTTCCGATGACAGTTCGCCATAAGCTCTCACTCGACCTGTAGTGTTCGAGTAGAAATCTTGTACAAGGTTAATGTACTTCCTTGGTACACCTTTCAATCACAAACACTGCCACAGAACCTCACGATCCACAGAGTCAAATGCCGCCTTAAGGTCCAGGAAGACGACGCCTAAATGTGTGTCTGTGTTTCAGGACCTGTCGTAGAGTGAAAATGTGGTTTATGCAGCCACGTTCAAGTATGAAACAAGCCTGGATTTATCTAGTCTGTTCTTCATGAGCTCTAGTTAGGCGTCGAGGTATTATTAAGGCTAAAAATTTAGAAACTATATTAGTTAGACTGATTACTCTGTGATTGTCTCAAGAGGACTTTTGTCCTTTCTTGTAAATAGGGACAATTAGCGAATGATACCAGTCAGTTGGAATCACGCTCAATTCCGAGATTTTACTTAAGATCTCAGTCAACCTAGCTGCTAAAACTCGACCACCATCCTAAAAAATCTCATGGGTAAGCCTATCAAGACCTGCTGCTCTACCTCTCTTGAACTGGTCCCTAAAGTGTTCTGCCCATCGGTCCAGTCTCCTGGATTGAGAATGGATAATAAGACCATCCTTTTCTGAGATAGTCTCACTTACAGTCGGACTCCTAATACAGGTTTCCTTGACCAGTCTGAATAGTTGCCTACTGTTACCTATCGCCGTTGCCTTTTCCATCTCCATTGCTTCCGCTACCCACCACTGTCCTCGATCATTGCGAAGGCTTTTTATCAGCCTGTGCTCCTCATCGTACTCAGAGTCAGGCGGTATGCGTTTTCGAGCATCCATCATTTCGGTAGATGCTACTGAGATCCACGACTTTTTCCTAACCTTATAGTTTACCTTACTAGCAGATGTAACTGCTGTTTCCACAGCCTTTTTGATATCATTCCAAGCTGCCTCAGTGTGAGCATCATTTATTACATGATCGCTCAACTCTTTTTCTAGTTGTTCTTGAAATATATTCGCCTTATTATCATTAAGTAAAACGTCCAGTAAGCCTCAAACAAATACGGCATGACCTGAATCTAAACATGTGCCCCAGAACGAGCGACAGTCCTCTATCGAACCTCTCCATCGGTCACTGATGGCAATGTAATCTAGTTGGGTCCAACATTGAGACGACTTCGGGGGGTCGCCAGGTCAAAACATGTTTTTCCGTTTTGGAGGTCTGAAATCTTTCTGTAAAACTCATCTTTAACCTCGTCTCAACTGCAGTCAGTGGGAGCGTAGGCAGAAACGACGAAGAGGCAACGACGGGTGTCTATTACTACGTCACAGTCTATGTTTGGTAGATTTTAGATTCGAGGTGATAATCCTGCGCAAATCGCATCCCAATTGCTACAGCCACCTTCCTACTTATTATAGGCTTTCATATTCTGAAGTGCAGGATAACGTTGTTCATCTTAACTTGTTGTGGCAACGTTAATCTTAACCAGATACATATTTGAAAATAACTGATAAAGCACTAGGATTCAGATTACCCTAAAATGAATTTATCGATTTATTGCTTTCAAAAATAGATATCTTATCGGTGGACGAAAACTGAACTAGCTTTTGTACTAACAGCTATGAAAATGTACGGTCATGACTTTTCCACAATTGCCAGAACTGTTGGAACCAAATCCGAAAGCTTCATACGTGATTTCTACAACACATTTCGCGAACGTTTCACATTGGACAGTATAATAAAGTAAGTTATTTATTAATGCATGTTGACAAGCATCAGACAGATACAGTGAGAATTAGTTAACGTTATTTGTTGATTTAATGAAGACCACTAGTAAATTTGTTATGAACCTAGGATGTTATTGAGAAACCTGACTACACTTTATGTCTGTCTGCTTCACATAGAGGCGTGTGTTTGAACTAAGCCATCACTACTTTAATATTAGTTTGAAGTTGTACTTAGACTGATAGTGTATGAAATCACAGACATTTTGTGTAACGAACTCACACTGAATTTCTAGGTTGGGCAATTCATTATTCCAATATGTATATGTAGTGGCAATATAACCCTGCTTGCAAGTATCATATAGATTGATGTTGAACTAACTTACTGTATTTTGCTTCATTTAACTTCAGACCATGCGTGAAAACAAATGACAGACTCACCGAACATCCAGTTACAGATCAAAACACTATATATCAAGAACCCCTTGTTATCGTTACACAAGACTGGGCTAAGAAAATAATAGATCAAAAACCAACCGTTCCTGTCGGTGGGAAAAATGAAGAATTATCGCAAATATCAGAAGCACAGAATACTACGTACAACAGTTTAAAAATCGAATCTAACGAACCAGACAGCCCAACATCCCACACACTTGATAAAACACATGGGAAAAAAGTTAACGTACGACTGTCATCTCGACGACGCACAGCGTCGTCGAAATATGTGACTCCTGAGGTCCTATCACACAGTCATAATGAATCACCATCAAGTCCACCACAACCTGTCAGCAGAGGAAGAAGTAGAGGACGAGCCAAACGCTCAAGACGCAGCTAGTCTTATTGGAGCTTGAATATTTCTTTAAGCAAATCTTTTCTACTCATGACTTGCCGATTTTTTCAACACAAACATGACCACGTGCACTTAAGGAGCTAAAATTAGCAAACTATTTCTGTCGCTCACTGATACCTTGTTTACGAATCGATGTAGCAGTATATAAATATGTGTTACTAACAATCAAGTTTCTACTTGAGGTGGGAAACACTATATCAGAACTTTATATCGATTAAAGACATCACTACTCGATGTGGGTGTGTAAATCTTGCTTCCCCAAAGTACTTGTAGAGATCACATTATTGGCATTCACTACATCTGCGCGATGCTCAACAACTAAACCGGCTCCGCATAGCCTTGAGTCCTGATCTGCGAAGACATTGCGATGGGGTTTTAACTGGCAACGTTTCCGACCCACCGATACTATTTACCTACTAATATCTGAACACAATAAATTAGTCAGAAATTATAAAAGAGAAACTATCATGGGCTGGTGCCATTCACAATTATTTCATGCTGGTGTATTCTCAATGACGTTTAAGCATTGCTATTGAATTGAAGACGCTGCCTATTTTAGGAATCCCAAATCGCAAATTAGGTTTTGACAGTCTTACTTATGACGAGAAAGATTTACATGTCGAGGTGAAATTGCACTGCTCAATCTTAATATAAGTCATATCCATCCAATAAGGCCGTAAAACAAGTTAAATGTGGTTAAAATGCATTTACATTCGTGTGAATCTTAACGTTTCTACATATAGGCGGTAACGTACAGATATTGCTGCAACATGGTTATTAGCAATTACTATTGAGTTAGCTTGAAGAAGCCCTCCATAATACGAAACAGATGATAAAGAAATAATGCAGGCGGAATACTTACACAGATATGCAGGTGTTAGTTTGGAAAGTGTTAATCAGTCACTATAATAAATTAAAGGATGCGATAAAAACATCAAACCAATTCAGGACAAATAACAAATCAGGAAGCATAATGAGAATCCTTTTAGACATAGAACCGAAAATGCTCAGAGAAAAAACCCCCGCTTAGGGATAGAGCATACGATGTTGCTAGAAGAACCTAGAGAAGTTTCACCTCAAAATAAGTTGTTGAACGTCAGGAATTTGTTTTGTCGTTTACTCATGAAATAGTCTTAGTCACAAAAATATAAAAGTGAGGAGGAAAATACTGTTCTAAACAATATCCACTACAGTTTTAAAATAGTTCGTACACAGTACTACATTCAGACTAAGCCATAAGAGAAAACAACGAGGTCCACCTTGTTTTACAAATTACTGCATATTTGTGCAAGCAGCTGATTACTGTCAGAATAGATACATCGTTTAAAAAGATCAAATGTATATAATGCTAGTTAACTTGTAATTAAGCAAACAATGTACTACAAAGAAAAATATACTGACAGAACATTAAATGCATTTAAAGCAGGTATGACACAAAACAATCGAGAAATTCATTAGCAAAATAAATGATTATTTCATATAATGAAAATGATTACTGGTGTCCACGTGCTTAGAAGATACCGGGGTATCAAAGAAATATAAAAGTTAAGACAGATTCCTCTGTATATATCTTTCAAATAATAAATCCGCAGAACATATACACTAATTGGCGGCTGAAACACATGATTAGAGGGCAATCATATTGCGGATAAGATATACACCAAAATCTAAAAAAAGGTTTGTAAATTGACATGCAGATATTGTGTAAAACAAATTGGTAATAATAAGGGGATGTGGAAACAGAAACCAGTACAATGTCACTCGACCGTAGAAGCTTTCAACTAACAGGAGGGCAGTTGCACATGACGTGATTCGCTTAGGACATCTGGCTGAACGAATATTCTTGCTATAATGCAAAAGGAGTGAGTCATAATTAATGTTTATGAAATAATTAACTGTGGTTTAAAAAGGAATGATTTGCGGCTTTTCTGTTCATTTTTAAAGCAAGATATAATATGTATGAACATCATGGTGATTTAAAGGATGTAGATACTAGTATTATATGCCCTTAAGCTTGATCGTAACGCATTTAAAAGCAAGGAAATATCGGTCTAATTCTTATATTTATGCTATCTAGGGGCATTTTCGCATATTAGAATAGTACTTAACAATGTGAAGAAAGGACACTTCAGCCAATGCGTTTACTCTTCGCACGTATCAGCTTCGGTTAGGACATCCGGGTAATATCTGGGCCGACCCACAAATACATTAATTCAAGTGATGCATAAGTATTTAAGCCCCTATTTGCGTGAATAATTACAGGTATAAATTAATAATCACAATTACATAATATATTTGTTATTTCCAAGATGCAATCTGGTCACGAAACCTTTAGGTGCATTGAACAGAGTAAATTATTGTTTACGAGCACATTTAATAAACAATGTTATACGACCCACAGTAACAAAATGCGTACTGTAGTTCAGACATATATTCAATATTCGCTCCTTCTATCCTAAACCCGCTTCCTACGGTTAACGAAAATACGGGTATAAAGATCAAAGTTTTGCTAAATATAAATGGTAAAATCATGGAAACTTACTGGAAATTGCACAGAGCCCGGACCACCAGCTGGACTTGGATTAGATCCTCCACAAACCGACTGCATGGACGATGGGGGACCTCCACCTGACCCTGAGTGCTGGCCTCCAGAGGGAACATATTGAGGGGGTGGCGGAGCTTGGCCTTGTGGTCCACTACCCATATGCTGCTGTAAGACATTTTGCTGTTGTGGCGGAGGCATCATCATAACAGAATCTCCCGGGAATCCACTGCTATTTTGTCCAGGTCCGTTGCCACCTGGACCGTTGCCAGGAGGGTAATCAGAGGGCATGAGTGGGGGAGGGCCACCAGCTGGACTCACCATGTCACAACCCATCCCTGGACCTCCATGTAACGGTGAAGCTTTAAGATCAGAACCCGATGGGTAGGGATTTGATGCAGAAGAAGGCATGCCGCTTGAATAGTCTGGGGGAGGAGGAGGCATCATTCCACTGCTGCGAGGAGGACCTACAGAACCATTTAGCAATCCAGAGTCACTGCAACCTGGACCTGCACCAAACATACCATTATCAGGAGTAGAGCCAGGTCCCCCACCGCTAAAAACAAGATGTGGAGAAGGTCTAGTAGCATATTCTGGAGGGAGACAGGAATTCGAAGTAGGTGGTGTTTGTTGCTGTGGTGGTGGTTGACCACTCATATAATGTGGTGGTGTAGGATGATGTGGATGACCTGACATTGCACCTCCTGAAGACTGGTGGTCGTTAGACTGAAGTTTAAAAAAGTTAGGAAAAACAATTAATAGATGAACGCTTGCATATTTATAGTAATGTAAAAAATGGTGCAGCCAACCACGAAAAACAAAAAGCATACTGTCCAATAAAACAGTACTGTATTAAAAAGATAAAGTTTGAGCTCTACAAATACTTATTTAATAAAACACAAGCATCTATGCAGATTATAGAATTTATATGCCACAAACGACCTAATGGATTAATGTGAACTGGGATACCGTACTGCACGGATTCCCGCACTGAAGAGTTATATATGGCTAAAACCTCTTATCGTGTTGAAAATTAGTATTTTACATACAACCTACTCCCTTTATTCATTAGTAGCTGGAAATTCTAGTTTGTCTTTTGAGCCTAATACTAGATAAGTTATGGACGAAGCATACTGCAATTCTGCACTCGAAAAAATGAGTAAACCTATTCTGTGAATGAAGACCAAGAGAGTATACGTTTTGCTGTCTTATGTTAAATGCGAGGTTTCTGATACGCCCGAATTTTTTTCCGTAAGGAGGGAACCACTGCAGATGAAGGTTCAGCGTCGACCTACACTATGTAGCGATACAGTAACTGGTCGGTTGAACCATGTTTTACACTAAAAAATTATTCGAAACTAGTTCAAATATAATCTAAAGATAACCCTTATATTATTATGTTAAACAGAGCATGTCTTCTGCACTGAACATATGATGGTTCTTTGTATGAAGAAATTTGCCAAGGAAACGATAACTTAATCATACCTAATTTGATTTAAATGTTTAGATCCCCTGGACTATACAGAACCAAATGGATGAGCGACAAGTGAGAATCACATAAAACTTTGGATCTAACAATCTTAGTTCTCTTTACAATTACACAACTACTTGACTCTTTGAAGAACAAGGAATCAATATTTAACACAGAGTAAATAACCAAGGGTAGCATTAGAAGCATTCGAAAATTTACCTGATTATTGATAGGACTAGGAGCAGCAAGATGAGGAGGAGCGTGTTGAGTTGGTGTACCAGGATGACCAGGACTAGGTACTATCCCACTTCCTCCACATGATCCCGGACCAACGCTCCCGGGTCCAGCTGACGACACTGAATTTGGTCCCGCCGATCCCGAACAAACTGGGGGACCACCGCCTTGTTGAGGAGGGCAGGGAGGACCGCCCGTCTGTTGTGGAATAGATGGGCCGATCCACCTAGGGCGAGGGTGACCTACAATGGCTCCAGATGGATGATGATGATGAGACATCATGGGATTGCCATGCATGGGATGTGGGGGACCCGAACCTGGTAGTAAATTTGCATGTGGAGGAATCATGCTACCACCGACAGGAATACCAGGATATCCACCTGCACCAGGTTGATGAAATCGTACTGACGGGTGATGAGGTGAAGGTCCTTGCAAGCCAGGTCCTGCATTTTGAAGACCACTGGTTGGCATCAAAGGTGGTCCGGATGGTCTTTGCCTCATCGATACTGGGTCAGGTCCAGGGGGTCCAAGTGGAGGAGGCATTCCTGGTCCTGCCCCACCAGGACCACTGACACTCGCAGGGCCAGACATAACAGGGTGATTGGGCTGTACAAATTAGATAAAATCTAATTAAATTGATTTGAATGACAGATCCACTTCTAATAAGAACTGAGAGATGTTGAGATCACAAAATGCACAAAAATGTCCCATAATTAATACAAAATATTCAAAAATTTTGTTTGAAAAGAACATAACACAATATTCTCTGAATGTGAATTGGACTAGGTGAACAACTTGGATATAAGTCATACTAAACGTGAGAGCTAGTGATACTACCCGGTCGCCCAAACTGAAGTGAGTGGAATTGAGCTTGAACCTATAACTTAGTGGCTGAAAGTCAAACGCTTTAACCATTAAGCTACCTATCCACTAGACGATTGTGAGCTTGCATGCAACTTCATACTATGGTGAGATCTTACGAGCTAAGAGATAATCGACTAAACCAAGGTTAACGCACTAAAATTTTAACCAGTAAGCGTAAGCTACGCGTAGTACTGCATACGGAGACGGATAGCACTATTAGCTACCACAGTATAGCTCATACCCACGTACCTGATGAATAATTTGGCGGAAAATCCTTCATTTGAAATTTTTTAGAATACATTTGACACGTGCTTTTAGTCAACTATGAGAGAAATCTGGATAGAAAATAGTGGATCGATTCAATGTATTTGAATAATGATTCCGTCAATTTATACGGTGGTTCATATTTCAAATAACCATCAAAACTAGCAAAATATTTGTTTCTAGTGGCATATCTATGATGCCTAAATGCAATACGTAGAAAACTCCTATCGAGCGAACAGAGCCGAACATTGTCGATTCCAATATGAATATCGCCGTGCACAGTGAATGATCGACCAGGGGGTTTCTAATCACGTGATACACTATGGTCAGTTAAAAGTACTGTTTCTTGATTAACAGAACCAAGTATTAGCTTCACGGCAAATAAGATACTACTGTGGTTTTAAACCCTCAATTGGCCAGTTTTGTTACCTAATTTGACAGTTCTAACGATGACGGTATTTGCGCTTAGAGAGTATGACCTCAGAGTAGAACACAACTGTTGATATGTAGGCTGGAACCAACACTCACCGCAGTTACAATGGGAGACTAGCAGACGTTAATTGCACTGATACATTTAGATTTCAGTTCTAACTCAACTTATAAATCTGTGACAGATGTTGAGATAACTGACCACTTCATCGTACAAACTAAGACAGGCCTTAAAAAATGATGGGTAAGTTACTTGTTCCACGTATGCAACCACACAAATACTGACCTTCCTACATCCTACAAATTACTTTTCATGTGTATGATGAAGTATGGAATCCATTTATATTAAGAAGCTTCAAAATGTTGATATTACGTAAGTCTGGGTGGCACTGGTCATAAACATGCAGCAAACCAAAGACGCATTAGAGAAAAATAATGCTAATCCGTAATTTAAGTAGTGAATCTAGAATGCCGAAGCAATACAGTTAGATTTAAAAAGGAAGATGTGGTGCAGACACAAATTCATGTCTCAACCATCTAACAGTGAGTTAATATAACCAATCACATGTAGCTTGTATACAAGTTTAAAGATATATACGAAAACTTCACAGGAAAGACCCTAAGATCGTAAACCAACGATGACCATCCAATTATTTAGTATGTGAAGAACTGAATACTACCTTGTGATTAGATAATGTAACTTGGATAACAATCAAGGTACACAGTGGTGGGTATATAAAACTGATAATTACCCCCAAAATAGTAAAGGGGTGTATTTGTTAACTGAGGACTAGATAATTTTGCAAAAACCCATACATCAAAATTCCGCAAGCAGTTTATTACGGGGAGCAAGTATAAAGCATATCTTCCCTTTATGAAAAAACACTCAAGATATCAATGACATCTGTCTTTGAGTAGATTATTTGCAGCCCATTAACAAATAACGTCGAATGACACATGACAACAGGCACCTAGTTGGTGCTTGCAACTATGCCTTAAAATGATGACGTTCATTAGGTGATATAAAACGCATGAGAGTTATAAGAATTCAGGTCATATAGGATAAATGTGACAACAAAATAAACACGATTATCTCAATTTAGAAAATTATTCATACAATAACAAACTTTTCATGATCATAGTTAATGAAATTTAGTGGCAACTGCAAAATCATTTAAGGAGCGCAAGAGAGAAACATTAGATGAATGATCAAACTTACGTGTGGCAGTCCATTTGGATAACCCGAATTAACAAAACCCTATCATTTTGGCATTAAGTCATAAAAAAAGCTTACATAGTCGTGGAATGCTTTGGCTTCACTGGAGTGCTCGTGTGTATCACGTCTTTCCGGGGCCGCGCTGTAGAGGTCCCAAAATACACTAAAAACTTCTAGGAAAATGCAATCAACTTACCTCCACCAAGAGTGTAAGAATCCAGGAGGTTCACCAACGCTTATTGATTTATCCCATCGAATCTTAAACAAATGTATCACTCAGTAAAATATTACCTCTTGAAGAAAAGAATTCGCTGTCTTTTGTGCCCCAATATGCACAAGGTATTCATAAACATATACCGCTAACCTACAGAAATAGAACTAAAGTTTTATACCAACTTCTCCTTAGACTGGGCATCAGACGGGATCCCAACCGACTTGTTCTTGACATACATTATTTTAGACTTGTTTAGAGGTCGGTAAGCAACATCCTTTTTTGATAAGTATCAAAATCTCAAAATCTAACAAAAACACCAAAAGACAGCTTGCAAACGAAATCCGACTCCCAATGGTTGAACGAGCGATATAAACAAAAGTCGAAGTATGAAACAGTCATACCAACCTCAAACTCTCATAAACCAAAAGATAAATACGAAACATATTTAAAAGTACTAAAAATTATAAAAAAACGTAGTTAAGAAATGAATGTTTAGCTGCTGGTAGTGCCGCGTAATGTAGAGCTATCAATGTCTCACTGCTCTTAAAAAGCTATGACTACTGTAAAAAAATTCCTACCTGTCTAACTTCCGCTTACTTGTCTCCCATTATCTGGAGTGCATTCACAAAATTCTTATCAATCTTTTAGTATCTCAATAAATCGATTGACACAGTATGAAAGAATCCTTATTTCAAGATCAAACAGGTTTTAGCATATTACAAGATGTATATATGCCGATACGTCAAGCATAACCAGTCAGGAAGATAGGAGACGATACTCAAACCAGAACCCTGGACTATTTCGAAGACGACGGTCAAGATTTCTGACAGATGACACATGACAGTGAAGAATCTCACTTAAGGAAAAAACACAAGTTCAACAAAACCTACGGAAAATCGAATCTCCAGGACTTGAACAAAGCAGTTATCATAAAGCTCAATAGGTTTAGATATCTTACGAGCCATTTCTCCCAATATTATTTAGTTGGATGAAACTATACAAATCTCACGTCCTGCAATTTCCGATCGTATAAACTCCTAGAGGCACTAGTATACAGTTTGTGACAAGAGCAATTAGATGTTTGGCAGATTCATTCTATCACATACCGTATTCTTCTGTAATATTAGGTGGATTCGAATGGGCAGTAAAATATGCTACTGCCTTATTCATCCCAATCGAACCAAAGTTTGAAATATACACTACCTTCGCTCCTCAATTATATGAATCTTGAGCTAAACACGAAACGCCCAAGATGAAGTTCACTGAGACTCATCGGCTTTCGCTTCGATATGGTTTGCAAATACGCGAGAACACCAGCGGAATCACCAACATCAGAACTCATTTAGAAAACAATGATTCAGTAATAATAGGACTTGATTTCACCAGTAATTACGATGTGTACGATGAATGTAATCATCACAATGAATAGGTCCTAACGTAATTAGGATAAACTTTGAGGGAAACTTGTAGCATCGCATAGTGTTTTAGGGTAAGAGATCAGGAATTAGGTAAACCAATCGATTCACATAACCTCTTCTGTTTTCAAACTGAACTGACAAACTCCAAATCACGTGGGACCACCAGGGAATACTACGAAAACAGGATTGATAATTATGGGTGATTAGAATAGTCTTACCGAAAATCGTCTCACGTTCCATTAGTTTACAACCGAGAATATCTCTAAGACGCTGACCTGTGGGTAGTGAGGGGTTGTTTCTCGTATTAGATGAGGTAAGATCCTGTTGAGGTAATTTATAATTTTTACTTGCTCGGGTAAGATTTTACAATTAAGAAATTCAGATTATTCGAAATGTGATTTTCTTCATTTACTAAAGAATTAAAAAGTAAGATGTCACGAACAACATAGTGGTCCAAGTTCAGCACCGTACAATGGAACTGTCTAGATGTCTTACCCTATGATCACTAGAGCCAATTCATCCATGAACAGTTATTAACTCCATCAGCAGTGAACCCCTGTTTCCTGGATCGAGTGATTTGACTTCACCTATTCTTTGCTTCCAGCTTTTGTGTCTATTCTCTAATGAATTTCAGTAAATTTAAATTCTTGAAATCATTTCGCAGAATAAAATATCAGCTATACACGAAATGAAGCTTGTACTAGATTTTCATATAGGTTCATAGTTGTATGATAACGTTAGATAAATCACCTACGTTGATATTTTATGTAGCCCTAACTTCCATAATCATCCCAAACATAAACTAGTGTTTGCGAAGAGCTGAAAAAGTAAAATCAGTCACTTTTCTGACTTGAATGAAAGTAGAAATTGGCTCCCTACACCATCTGTCGAATTGTCCTATGTAAGTACGCTGAAGCAAAAACGATACTAAACAAGTGGATTACACTAATATACACTAATATTCGTTAACTCATTATCTGGGATCTAAAGTAAACAAATCGTAACACGGAAATTACGGTTGCTTATGACTGGGTCCCCATTAATAGTTTATCTGTTGTTTGGTTAGAAGGTTCTTTGAAGGTTAAAAAACCCGACATGGAAAACAATACTTCCTCATAATCTCCGCATGTATCCTGCTAGATTGCAACCTAGATACGATCAAGAGTAAGTTCTACCACCACTTGAACCGTCTGAGGAAAACACGTTCGACAGATATTTTAATGATAGTCGGAGATTAAAATGTTCAAGTCGGGTTTAAAGGCAGAGAACTGAGTCACTGGGATAACAGATGGGAACTTGTTGGTCACAGGTCAGATGGCGATGCCATTCTTCTTCAGCTTCGCTCACACTGCAATCTTTCTCTGTCTAGCATCCATTTTTGTTACAGTCACTGCCGATGTGCTACTTGGGGTCCTATCCTGGTGATTCAATTCAAAACTCAGGTTGATGACTCCACAACCAGTTGCCGATGGCGTGGTTATGTGCAAGACTGGCTCTCCTTGGATTACGCAACTGGACTCTGAACATATCCCGGTTTACTTCTACCTTATCTTATGTTAAAGCCACCTACAGACTCGTTTGTAATGGATTGATGTTGGGAAATTGACTATAGCTTCCGTTGCAACCTTTATATCAAGCCGAAATAAATGGAAAGCTAGCTACCGGTTCGAGATGAAATATTGGTGATAAACATATAGTGCTACATAAGAAGTTGTGCAGTTTGCGTAAGGACCGTGAATCCTAGTGTTTGGAGCGGGTTAACGAGTTGTAAGCATAAGCTGCATCCGGTGCCGGTCGGAAACTGCTTCAACTTATCCTACCCACTTAGATCAGGAATTCTTGTGTGAGTGAAACAATCTATGAGGCTGATAAAACACAAATCAGTAACGGTTTCTTGAATATTGGGCAGAGTTTTTCGAGGAGCACCAGCTGGTATTTTGCTCAAGCGAAATCGATCAGACTGTCTTACGGTCTGTGGCTCAGCGCCCGTAAGCATGGCATATACTCTGGTCTCCTAAATCAAATGTACTTTTAAAAGGCTAGCAGAAGCCTATACTTGCGCTCACTCTTTTTTGTGAACCATTAGAAATGGTCGAAAAGTTTTGTACCTTATGTAGTTGTGCAAGTGATGCTGGCCTTACGTATAGCGAAAGTGAGAATGGTCTGTATCAATATTTGCTATTCTTGCTGCCTCTGTAATGTTAGTGTGACTCTAAGGGTTGAGTTTAAAAAGGTTTTGTTAAAGTAGTTTTGTCCTTTGTTTGTTTAACCTAGCCTCCGAATTGAGAATGTTTGGTGATTCTCCGTGCTCAACCATCGTTGTCCTTAAAGGCCTACTGATATCCAATGGTGTGCCATGTTTTTTATAATTCGAAGGTTCAATTTAGTTAGTTTCACAATCTTAAAACACCAATTTCAGTGGCTTGAACATGTGTTATGGGTGTCCATCCTAGTGAATTCCATGTGATGCTTTATTCGCCTATGATGAGTTTAGGTTGAAAAATGGAAGAGGTGATCAGTTTATGATATGGCTCCATGGTATGGAAGAAATTTTTATAGGACTAGTGCTTTTCGGTCCTTCATGACTTACTGGTTCGGGTCTTAGAAATGATTTAGTTCAGTGACTTGATATGTTTTCAGTCGTAGCTCAGAATGAAAACGGACGAGGTTCTTATTGCAGTTTTTAAAGTTTCTGTAAAAATGCGATGAGTTTTCTGAACTGATAAAAGTCTCTTTAGACGTTTTTCAACTGAACTTTATCTACTACACAACATTCTTGTTCATTTATTCTGTTTGATTGCCCTTCCTACCTATTTTTTATTTCTCCCCAACGTTATCTGTTTATCATTTGTTTCAAATACGGTTTTTGGTACTTACATTTTATGTAAATCAAATCAAAATAAACATTACTTTTAGAAAATAAGATATCTATGCGTGTAAGAGGACAAACTTGTTTAGTTAATCGTTTTAATTATACAGTCAACGGTAGGTTGTATTAAGACATTTCTTCTCAATAATACCCTTACCAATTGTTTTATTTGAAGTGATATTGTCTATAAAATTCTAGGAGGAAATTTGTTCGATACCTTTTTTATAATTTAGTTTGTTTAACGAATAGGACTTATGCTTTTATTCGTAGAGCTATTAAGAGGTCAACCTGTGGTAGGCTTTATAGAGAAGCTGTAACAGTCTTTTTATGTGCCTATGTATTTTCTGAAGAGCTGTATGCGCAAAAATGATGCAGTTTATTCATATTTTGAAGGCGATATAATTTAGTATGTTTATGTTCATAAAATGTGTTTTAGGAACGGCTAGTAGACAAAACATTTCTGTGTCCCGGGAAAGATAGTTCTAAAATCTGATATGAATTACTTTGAGTGAGTGTAAGCTTCCTGTGTAGAGTTTTAGAGATAGATTGAAACAGAGAGTTAAAAAATAATTAGTATTACCCTTAACTAATCCTGTTGGTAAAAATGTGTATTCCTTGTACCTTGCACTTACAAATATGATGTCTTCCGTTTACCAAACATTTTATATCCTGTGCTTTTTTGCATAATTATACCTATTCAATTCGTTATAGATGTGGTTATTAATATTAGCTTATTCAGATGTTTTTTTTATAGGGTAAATATTTGGAACAAAATTTTGAACGAGCTATGCGCTCATTCCTTTCAGATGAATCATCAAGTAAAAGGCAAAAGTCACAGGTTGATTATAATAAACGTGAGTTGGCAATTTTTTCATCATGACGTATGCTATAAATGTATCTAATTTGTCTGAAATCACTGTAGATCATTATCATATGCTTCAATTTTCAACAATCATGTAATATCAGTAATATAGGATTTTTCTTACACGAAATCTCGTATGTTCTTACTAAGTTCAAACACATTAGAAATCATAGTTAAATATCAAGTGAACAGTGCCCGAAAAGTTCTCAACAACATCTATTATCTAAATATTTACTAGTTTGGGAATTGATCGATTAGCTTCTCCAATAATTATGGTATGCAGTATATCTTAATACAACCTGATTTAAGCAATTTAATTAATTTAAACCACTGTGATAATAGTCTGTATTAAAAATCTAGGAATATAGAACAAGCAAAGCATGCTCAAGGTATCTGGTGATTAAGAATGCTGTCTATGTTTAATAAACTATGTATGTTGAAATTAGTTACAGTCGTGTCAAATCAAAAAGATCCAATGAAAATAGAGTTTAAGATCTGTATGGAAGTTAGTGACATACTTTTCATTACTTGTTATTAATGAAACTTCAAAATTAGACTAGTTGCACTATCTTATATATTAAAGCTATATGAATTTGCTAGTATTTAGTGGGGTTCCTGATATCCGGTTTTATTATTTTTGATAATTTCCCCAAAGCATTTTGTATCGGGTAAAATGTTTAGACTGTACACATCATGTTTCTGTCTGGTCGGTAGTGTTAATACCTAGTATGAGTTACTGCGCAATGTGTTAGACTTCAACTTACAGCTTTTCCACTGTTTTTCCCATGGGGCTAATACCTTTCTAAAGTCATAATCTTACCCGGTATTCTACATTTACCTTACTAAGGAGAGTCATTATTAATGATATTTAGTTTCCGGGCTTGGCCACTCAATCAATACCTTAAAATATCTTATCAGTAATTAATTTTTATGTAACTAATTACTGTATGCTTTTTCTTTTAGGTTCTGAAAATAACGTCATTCAAATTGTCCGTTTGGTCAAGCATCGCAGTTTGGAACCAATAATTGTATTTAGTTTCAGTAAAAAGGAGTGCGAAATCTATGCACTCCAGTTGGCTAAATTTGATTTTACCACTGGTTTGTTTATTTTCTGGTTTTTTAGGTTTTAATTTAATTGTCTCTTGGACTAATTGTTAGAAAAATATCCATTGCTATAGCTGAAAATATTAGTCGTCTTTCTCTGTCTAATCACAATTATTACCTTTTTACTTTACTGGTATTTATCGATGTTACGCCTACTCGTAAACACATCAACTCGATATGCTTGAACTGTTACGAGTTTGCCTTAGTCGTAAAACGAGAGCGAGGATCGAGGATCTGGCGACACGATATGCTACTCTAATCCGAGTGTCCCAACCCCATATTGAGTAAAAATAAGAAGACTTGCAATGAAGTAGAACCTGCAATCTACAAGCATTCAGAAAGTACGAAGTCCGAGTCCGGAAGAGAATCAGGATTTCTAGACCTTTCCTTTTGTTCCAGAATTCAGCCTCTCACGAGCCCGCTCTCGATCAAGAATGGCCACAAGTACTCGCCCCCGGAGGGCATCTTCCAAGCCACACCAAAAAATGGCTTCGGAAGGAGTGCCGACTGTTGCTGGTTCCACCAGACTGTAAGTCCGGTGCCCGTCATTGTCGAGCGCCACGCTCATACAAGGCGGGAAACTTCAAAGCAGACTAGTAAACGTGGCGGTACTCGTTGGCCCCTCACCTCAGATTGGCCGCCTTTATTACGTCCACGAAATGCACACTAACGCTAGGTACCTCGTTGAAACAGGTGCCAAAGTTTCTGTCGTATCACTAGTTAACAGCAATCCTCAACTTATGATGCCTCCACTACGCACTGCAAATGGCTCTCTCAATCTTACCTAGGGTACACGATAGCTGTCGGTCAAACTGAGCAACCGATAACAGTGTCTGTAGACGTTCATCATTGCTGATGTTCCTATAGCTATACTCGGTGTCGATTTCCTACAGCACTATGAATTGCTAGTCGATTCACGTGGGCTGAAGCTAATCGATTCTTCGTCGAACAGTAAATTTATGGGCTTTTGAGCTCAAACAGGTGCGTACCATATTACAGGGGTATTCCATTCACGTGATGACACTTTCCACGCTTTACTCGAAAAATTTCCCAAGCTAACTAAACCACTCGAGGAGAACCTATCGGCGGCTCATCATGTGGTACACCACATCGTCACCCGCGGACCACCAGTCACGGCAAGACCTCGCCGACTGGCACCAGACTAATCAGCTTTCGCTTAACGTGAGTTTGATAATTTGCTAGCTACATGTATTATTCGTCCTTCTCACAGTCCTCGGGCCTAACCTCTCCACATGATTCGCAAAAGGGATGGAATGAGTTGGCGACCATGTGGCGATTACCGATCATTAAACTTAGTAACACGTTTCAGTAGCTATCCCATCCCCCACATACACGACATCACGGCATCAGTCAAGTTCACGACTATTTATTCTAAGATTGATCTGGTACGAGCGTATCATCAGATCCCCGTCACTGCTACCACGACTCCTTTCTGTCTTTTTGAGTTCCTACGAATGCCATTCGGATTACGGAATGCTGCCAAAATTTTCCAAAGGTTTATTGATAGCAGACTTTGCTTTTGTTCACGTTTGTAGTGATGATTACTAATCTCATCATCAAATTTAGATGAACATTATCAATATCTTACACTCCTATTCCAACTCCTTTCGGATAATTCAATAATAGTCAACCCAGACAAGTGTGTTTTGGGCAAGGCAGAATCCAGATACTTGTATCACATCATTGGGCATGAGGGTATTCTAACTCATGAAGATAAAGTACGTAAAATCACTGTACAACACTGTACCGTCCTCGCTCAAGGAACTGAAGGCTTTTCTCAGTTCCGATCACTTCTACCGACGTTTTATTCCTCACGCAGCGGAACAGTTACGACCACCAACCGACTTATTTCGCGGTAAATTAAAATTGGATGACGCCGCGCTTACTTCATTTTTGAGATTAAAAAGCTTTAGCTGCAGCCACGATTCTCGCCCATCCTGACCCATCAGCCACGCTTAGCTTAGCGGTTGATGCATCAGATTTTGCTATATGCGCCTCTCTCTAACTTTTATCACGACGCCTTACTCCCACAGAGACGAGATATAGCGTTTTTGGTCGCCAGCTGCTAGCAGCCTACTGTGCCATCGAGCATTTCCGGTACTCAGTAGAAGGTCGTGACTTTACCCCTTTCACCGACAATAAGCCTCCAATGTATGCCCTACCTACGATGTCTGACCGGTACTCACCACGAGAGTCCAGACATTTGGACTACATCTCTCAGTTCACAACAGACCTTCGTCATATTAAAGGCGAGTCGAACTATGTTGCCGATGCTCTCTCACGTATTCAAGTAAATGCAGTTACGTTACTAATGCTTGATCTCCCTGCTATGGCCGCTGCCCAAGCAAGTGATCCATCCTGTACAGAAGCACAACAATCTACATCCGTTCAGTTCCAGGAAGTTCCCCTAGCTATCACCTCAGGTACTATCGTGTGTGCTAACTCCACTGGTTTAACCTGACCTACTGTACCTTCTGTTCATCGTCGCCTCGTCTTCAATGCCCTTCATGGTTTGTCTCATCCAGGTATCTCAGCCACATTACGTCTCATCGCTGCACGATACGTCTGGCCTTCCATGAATAAAGATGTCCGTGTGTGAGTTAAGCAATGCTTACAATGTCAACGATCAAAAGTGCACAGAGACGTAGCCGCTCCTATCGGCAAATTTGCTACGCCTGATGCTCGCTTCCATCATGTTCATATTGACATTGTAGGACCATTGTCACTGTAGGATTTAATTTGTCCTACAGATGTAATTCTAAAACAGTAAACGCAATACTGGCGAGCACAGAGTCTATGGGAAAGCTAAAGTAACGAAAAGATCAACTTGGTTTTAAAATTTATCTGTTTCCAAAAAAAGACGATTAAATTAGTACAATAACTAAGGAAATTACAATTATCAAGTAAGACAAGCAAACGTACCAACCAGTATAGCGTGTCTTTAGAAAATGTATAAAAACATGAGTCACATCAATATAATAAAATAGTAACATCCTTCAATCAGTAGGTCAGTTACAACAAAGAAAGTTTAGAAACCGGTCAGACTAGATAGCGTGGTGAGCGCTTAAACCGATCTGATTGGTTATTTATGGCATAACTACAATTAGTTATGGAAATAACTAACAGTCACCATCGCGTGGGTATGATCACATACTCACGTCCATCTATCGTTTCACAAGATGACCCGAAACTATTCCCGTCATTCTATTACGGCGGAAACAGTTGCCCACCATTTCTTATAACGATGGATAGCGCTTTACGGTTGTCCGTCGACTGTCACAAGTGACCGAGGACAACAGTTCGAGTCCGAATTATTCTCCTCGCTAACCCGGCTACCTGGTATGGAGCACATGCGCACTACCGCTTACCACCCAGCTTCGAATGGTTTAGTCCAATTGTCTCGATTAACCACCCGGGCAACAACGGATACGTGATAGCAGACTATCCTCGTACTACATGTATACTACACCTTTTCCCATTTTCTTTCATCTTTGTATCCTGAGCCCATGCCTAAGAGCATCGCACTGTCGATATCGTCGACTTCAGTCAATCTTGGTAAAAGCTGGCCTGATCACCCAGGCTCTTTTCAATGTACTCAGTCGATGTTTTGGTTTCGAATGATCTGGCATATGTATGGTTTCGAACTTAGTCGTTCTGGTTGTTTATGGCTCCTCAGCTTAATCGGATTCCATCCAATGTTTTCAGCTTTTTCTGGTACGAACTCCTACGAACGCAATCTTCAGACTCTGGATACGAGCCACTCTAGTTTGGCACGCCAACCCGAACAATAAACTTGAAATGTAACTTTTGGTGCATTTCAACGTAAAAGACTTTCGGTGACAACTCTAGCTTTATTGGTCGCTTCCTGTCCGTCAACCTTTCCGCCCTACAATCTCTCGTTAGCAGACCAGCCCCCTCCGCACGAAACCGCTACGTATCGAAAGTGTGGACCCTTTCTAGAGGGTGGCTAATGTAGCAGCATACTTTTAGGAGGGAACACAACTGCCAACATGGAAACTTTTATAATTGAAACCAATTATAACCACAACTGCTTTATAGTAACCCCTTTAGCTTAACAGTACTAAAGACCATAACTCGTGCGCGAAGATCGTTGCTATCATCTCTAGTTTATCCTTGGTGGTTGTTAGCTTCGGTTTTATTCCGTTCTTGATATCTTTTTAATACCACGAGACCACAAATCAATACATCTTGTCATAGTCATAGTCTTCCTTTTGATTTCTGGATTTAAATGGATTATACTTGGTAATCTCGCGAAGAGTAATCACAATCTCACAACAAACCTTTGGCGTTTTATTCGCAAAACTCATCAGCTGAGTCATGACTCGACTTCGACCATCAACATTTTCTGTTCTGCCTCTCTCCTCTTTTCCTTTCATTCTCATTTTCAGAATTTTTGTGATACACCAATGAAAGCAACCGTGAAAAGTATCACTTCGTCCTACGCCTTATTTTATAGCGCTGATATTTTTGGAGATGTATACTTGTTTTCGCAAGACACGTCTCATATAATTATTTGTAAATTTTCATGAAGAAGATCTAGTTGTACTTACCCCATCGAATTTTGCTATATACAGGTCTAGACTAGAATTGTGGAAATTCTCAACCATCACACTTTTATAGTAGCGTAATTGGGATAATTCTTGATAACTGCCTTATTGTTAATTCCATTCTCTTAAACAATGATTACAATTTCTTTTTAAGAGAACGTCAGACATCTACAATAATGCAAATGTACTGTAAAATATTTTGCCATATTCAAAAATAGCTGTGTCGCATTATTCATACAATATTATTCTGGTTTAGGACTTGCTGAATTCTGATAGCACATATGTCAAGTTTATGGTACAGCTGTGTGATCCTGTTTTGAATCTAGGGGTACATTCCGCACGCAGTTGAGTAGGTTTTTTAGTTCACATCAGTGTGACAAATTTCATCTAGAATTATGGATTGTGGTCGTATGAAGAAAGATCGACTTAACTCCACA